TCGAAGGTTGAACGTAAATTTTTTGAAAATTTTATATTACATTTCCAAAAAATATACGACCTGAGTATAATACTTATGTTTATATATACCCTGTTTGAGAATTCTCCTAAGTGGCTGCGAGTCACATCATGATGTAATTCGTTGTAACAGAACGTGGTAAGATTCTAGTTGAATACCGAAGGTTAAGAGCTCTCCAATACGTATTTCTACTCTTTGTATACCTTTAGTAGGTAATAAAAGCGACTTTCGATTCCTATATAATTCTGAGATGTCCGTCTATACCGGCAAAGTTATAGAATCAAATATTTATTTCTATTCAATGCAGATATCAAGATTTAGAAAGAAACACTGTTTGTGCCTGTGTGGATAATAGTGATAGTGCCCGAAATCATTTTGTTCTGAAATTCTGCAAATATTTGTGTAAATATTTTAGGTATAATATTGTGGAAAGGAATTCGAGACTTAAAAATTTTGCGTGTCTATGCTTAAGTGTATGCTTAAATCATTTGTCCATTGTCCGAATTTAATAACGATTAAGCTGATTAACATGAACGTATGTTAGTGATGACGTTCCGCTAGGGTTGGTTGGTTAGTTGGCTGACCGCATAACGTTAATGCATGCAACGCGATACGACAACACAAATGCATAGATATACTCTCTCTTACTTACTACAACAACAAATATAGAAAAAAGTTATAAGAGTTTACAAATAAAACAAACACTTACTTGACAAACAAACTCATCTATGCATTATATATTGTATTATGTCTACGAATGTGGGTATGAATGCAGACATAAAGCATATCTCCTATAGATGTTATGCATATACGTACATTCATTTAGCATTTATTACATTAGCGAATGCTTATTTGTATGCATGTCATCATCTGTTGGATATATATTTGTCTCTCTGCGTTGTCCATTAAAAATAACATTATTCTAAAGTTGCACAACAGGCTTTTGAAAAGAACTTTGCTTTAAGTTGGTTTAGCTTTTTTTTTTTTTAAAGTTTTTTTCATTTATTTATATTCTTTGTGTTAATAACAAAATAACGACAACATAACAACATAGGTTTATCTCTATCAAGAGAGGAAAAGAACAAGTTTCAATTTTAGTTTTTCAATTCATTTTGAAATTCGCAAAAATTTATGTGTAGACACTTAACCACCATGTATATGCCTGCGTATATATGTATGTATTGCAATAGAGTTGTTTTTTTTTTTTTTTTTTTTTTTTTTTTTTTTTTTTTTTTTTTTTTTTCTTTAGAATTAGGCCATATTTAAGCGAAGTTTTACGATGGACTTTTTACACAAGTGACTTTAATTCGAGAATGTTTCGTTTTTTATAAGACCCAAATTTTGTTTATACTTATAGAAAGTTATGACATAGATCGTGGAATCAATGTAAAAGGAAACTGGTTACTATCGCGCACAGATATATATATATATATATATATATATATATGTGTTATAGGCGCGTCTGTTATACATATTTTTCAATAATTGTATCCTTATGTACGCTCAGTCGAATGTAGGGTACTTAGCTGTAAAAGCTTGATTGTTCATAAAAAAAAAACAAAAAAAAAAAAAATGAAACAAAACAAATTTCTTGCTAAGAAAGACGAGAAGAAACAAAGCAAAGTCAAAACCAAAACAACAAAAATAGTAAACAATTTACAAAAATGTATTTATTATATATTAAGACGCCTAAAATTTACGCTCGATTGCTTATGATTTATAGTCATAGAGAAACCTAATAACTTAAATTTTCTATATTTTATTTTTTTTTTTACATTTTTTTTTATTTTCCGTTTTTTTTTTTTTTTTTCTTTATTTTTTGCTTGTTTTTTACGGATTTAATAAGTAAAAGTGAAAGAAATGTCTTATAGGCTTAAAAGTTAAATTGCGAATTAAATTTGACGTGTAATTATAGCAACAAGGAAGGCGTTTTAAGCATTAAGCTTTAAAAGCGTGAAAACTAAATTACACTCTTTCTTGCTATAATAAATGATTAAATTGAAGAGGACCATCTGGATTGTATGCCGTACACTACACGTACAGTCTTTTGCTGGAATCATTTGCTTATTTGTTTCTGCGATAATTCATGATCCACTCTCCATAGTAATGGATACTTGCATACCTATCTTAACGCTCTGCCAGAAGGCTTCATAAACTACTTGCAGCGTTCACCGGTAAGATTTACTATTTTTTTTTTTTTGCCTGCCATAGTGGTTAACCGTGAATTTAAATAGTTCATGTTTGTCAATCCTGCGTTAAAGATGTAAACAAAATTCACGCAATTAAAACAACATATTATTTGCGATAACATCTCACCGAAAACATCAATTACTCTTTGCGACGGGACTGCAAAAGCTGCTTCTTATCGCTAACCGTAAGTTTTTGAAAATGAGATGTGGTGAGGAGACCACAGTCTAAATTAGAGTAAATTGAAAGTAAAGTTGAAAGCATTGCAGCTTTTCAAGAAAGAGTGCATAATAGTCCATTGCTCCGAAATCCATGCCTTGATTAGAAGGTGTCTCTTAAAACATCAACCATGCAGGGAATTGTATGTAAATATTAAGCTTCGAGTTCATTACGGATTCGAGAGTTATTTGGCATGCGCAGCTGCTATATATATCTCACACCACCCCAAGGAGTAGGACAATCCCAATTAAACGGGGCCCTACTACTCCTAAGGTCCTAAAGTAGAAAATTTTTTCGCTTTTGGGTAGGCCAAGAAATTTCAGGGTAACCACAGCCACCACGACAGTCCCCGAAGTGCCCAGCAGTCAGGCAAGAAGGCATTCATCATCATCGATCTTCTCATGAGAAGTGCATTGTTATAGCAGGAGTAATCCTACTTTTGGACAACCACAATTGCATAATTTGCCGTCCTTTTGGACGTACGCTGTGCTGTGCAGCTTTGGCTTTGGGATTTTGTACGATGCACGGTCAAGGCAGCTCTTGCCTTTTGACACGACACAAGTCTCATATGGCCATCTAGTATGCTATCCTTTCTTGAGGAAATAATGTTTCCAAGCAATTCATCACATAGCGCACACGTAACTATGCCTCAATCTTTCAAAATTTCCTAGTATCAGAACCTGAACAAGTTTGATGACCTCCATAAAACAGAATCGAATGGGACAAGAAAATATATAAAAAAGGGGAACGCTCTTCTGCTATTCCTCTTAAGCTTCCCGTTGCTAGCTCTTAGATAGTAAACATTAAAGCCTTCTTTGCCAGCGACTGAGCAACCTAAGAGCCTAAAAACAATCAATCAATATTTAAAGGGGGCATCACGATAAGGTGACGATTTCGGTACATCTACGATTCTCCGAGGATTCACATGCTTTTGCTCCTCCGAGACTCCAAGCATAATAAGTTTTTCAAATATTTACAATACTCATTGGAGCCCTAAGCTGTCTGTCTTTCCGTCCGCCAATGTCTGTCTTTCCGCCTAAGTCGATATCTTCACTTTTGTGACCAGAAGAGTGTCAACAACACACACCACACAGACACCCAGACATACAGACCCATAAACAAACGCACGGACATGTCTTAATCAATTCAGAATTTCATGTTGATGAAGATATATGTATATATATACTTCATATAGTCTCTGAAGCTTCCGTTGGGTGTTGCAAACGTTATGAGTAAACAAACTGAGTACAGCACCACTCTTTAATGATGGATATGAGAATGGTATGTCCTTTCTGACGTAGCGTCTTCAATTTAAGGAACCCCGCGGGGCACAGTGTGGCTTGTGCAAAACTAAAGAAAAACGAAAAAAACCACCTCTCCACAGTCTGATTGAAGTTTTAAATGAAACGAATCAGTTTTTAAACAAAGAAAAACTGAACTTTCTGCTAATAAATAGAGTATAAACTACCTTAACGAATATTTTAAATACCTTTGTGTACTGCTACACAATCGTGTTTGGAAAATTAAATTTTTAAATCGGACCACTTTTTCGACCGCTTACAACATAGGGCCTTATTTTGAAAAGTCATTATATGCACAATATTAAACGAATTGCATTTAATAGAGAATCGTGCCCCACTACGGTGTTTTACTTTTTTTGATATAATAAACTATTTCTTCATTTTTATAAGAACCCTACAATCCGAGAGTCGCAAAATTGTGCTTGCATGTTAAAATATTCGCCCTCATCCTCCTCTTCGAACAATTTACGCTAGAAGGCACTGCTACAACTATCACAGATACTCTTGCAACTATCTGGCACATTATCCAGTTCGAAGTTTATTAATGATTTACATCCACTTTTATCGAAAAATGCCTGATGAGTTCAAATTTCGAAAGCATTTTTCACGACTTCCAAAAACCTCCTATAATAAACAGGGTGGTTCAAAAATTTCTTTATTTGATGAGTACATCAGGGTGCTCTTAAACATAGTAGTTTCGGTCTTATTTTATCGACTGGGCGTTGATCAATCTTGCATAATAAGAGTAAAGATTCGCACTAAGGCTATCTCAGATCAGAACGGATCAGCAATATTACAATAGATTTTGATAATCCAAAGTTACTTTCGCTTCCTTAATTTGTTGCGTTTAAGTAAAACGTTTCATATACGTCTTATACTTTCTTTCGAGAATAAGCAAATGGTATATGCGTGCCATCAGATTCGATCTAAGCTAAATACATATAATAATTTTGTTAAATACTGAAGAGATCGCTGAGCTAACTCTCTCAAATTAACTTCTTTTTTTCGCTCTCTGTATAATTTAGTAATTAACCGTAAATTTTAACATTAATTTTCACACACGCGTTTATGTTTTAACGTGTACATGTGACTATACATGTTTCGGTATGTTTTTTTTTTCTCATGCTCTCTTCTTGTACTTTGGTCGCTTTAAGCGGTAATAAAAAAAATAAAAAAACTTGTTTTATTTGCTTTTGTTTTGCGAAAAATTTACTTAAAATAATTTTTTATAATCTTTTTAAAATCTTTTTTTTTCTCTTCCTCTTTTTGTTACAGATACAGCAAGAAACTGAAACATTGTAGATTTCTTTACATATATCCAACTCTTGGTCAATGAAGGGCAAAAATGGTGATTGTAACACGCGTAAGTATAAATATATAATAAAATTTTTTTCCTAAATAATCACACGGTACGCTTCCATGTATGGTAGATTATAATAGCTTGGCTAACCGGCCGACCGTTTCTCCGCGTTGTTTCTCGCAATTAATAATTTGAAAGAAAAAAAAACCAAGATAAGACATTATAATAGGACAAGGTTGATCACTACATACCCTACATCTGTTCGCCTAACAAAAGTCTTTCAATATTTTCCACACAAAATAGAACGTGAGTAGGAAGCCTGAATCGATGTAATCAAAGTTTAAAGTTAAATTTTATTTTTTTTTTACCAAACAACGAATAATTTTTCATTTCTTCACATCATCAAAGACTAGATAAAGATTTCATATTTATAAGAACTTTTTTACGGGAAGGGAGCCGAAGAATAGACCAATGCGGTTCAATTGCAACATAATAACTTTATGTGCCAAATTGTTTCTCTGCGATAATATTAACTCTAAACTGCTAAAGCCTACGTAGGCTTATCTTCCATAAGCTTCAGACAGATAGTACCATCCGCACTAAATTTTCGGCATTCATTTAGCAATTTGTCAAGAATTATTAAATATAAATATAAATTCTTTGGATATACTGTGAGAATTCTTTGAAAGCAGGGCGTTCTATATGGAAATTGTTTACTTTCGGTAGCATATTACAATGTATTAAATGTATCATAATATCTTAAAAGTTGCGATAGAAGAATATATGAGTAGACGAAGGGACCCATATGTTTCAATTAATTTAGAAAATGACCGTAAGTCCATCGCTATTATAAAAGCTAAGTATATGTCAAGTTTTTCGGGATATTGTATAAACGTGCTTTGTACATTATCTGCAAAACATAATATCAATAAAAGATTCAAAAGGACTAAGCTTGCAGTCTTTGTTGAAAAAAACAAGCGACAATCGCCTTAGCAGTTAGCGCTAATCTTTCTTCATTGCAAGAATTTGTTTCTCTTGGTTAGATATAACTGTAGATTATGTATGTAGACCTTATATAATTGTCAATTGGATAAAAATGAAATTTTCTTCAGAATTTTTGATCTCTGATCTAGATAGGCTCTTAGCAGATATTTTTGGTTGTAACAAACGAATGAGCAATGCTAGCGTACGTTTTACTTTGAAAAAGAGTTCGAAAAATTTGAATTTCCTCTCGGAAGTAGTTAATTTAAATATAATCTTTTAGTTGATCTTTTGAGAATAGTTTCTAACATCTTCACTTTGCTGCACTTTGCAAAGACAAGGTGAGAGAGGAGATAAAATCTTGTTTTTTTTTTGTATCAAATCTTTAAGTGGGTACAACTTTATCTAAATATATGCATCTTTATTTTGCTTATGCGTGGATGTGTGTATGTATGTATGCATGCATGCATGTACGTATTGTATGTATGCATGTATATGTATATATGAGTATATGTATATACGTATTTATGCACATATGTATATGTGTACATGTATGTATGTGCATTTGCGTATTTGTATATAATTTGTATATTCACAGAGTATATAACCACATATTTAACACCTTGTTATTTATATATATATATTAGAGGTTTCACAAAAAAAATCTGTTCACAGATTTGCCCGTGCATCGATACATGTGATACTTTGCAAGTGAAACAAAAATGAAAAAAAGAAAAAATGAAAATCGCTTGAAGGATTTTTATTTTTGTTCACAAGTGTTTTTCTTTTCTCATTTCTTCCTCGTTGCCTTCCCGTATGTTATTAATTCGTTTATCTGCTTTTATACATTTTATTAACACGTACGTATTATGTCTGCTTTGTTACACATGAAAACTTATATGGGTCATTATATATCCATTTATATATAGCTGTTATTGCTATTGTTGTTGCTGTTGTCTTCGTTGTAACGCTTGTTGAGAATGCAGTTAATTAAAGCTTAAAAATAATTTTGTATTTAATGTTTTGAAAAAAAAAAAATGGCAAAAAAAAATTACATAATTTTGTAATTATAAAATAAAATAAAAATTTCATTACATATTTTTTTTTTTTTTTTTTTTTTTTTTGATTTCCCATCAAAGTACACGAAAATGATCATTAGGTATATCTATGAATTGGGTTAGCAGTTAAATGTCAATTTGACATTTTCAATAACACTTTGGATAAACTTTGCCAACCAAGCAGCAGATATTTGCAAATCTATAGTACAGAGCATCGGCATTGCAACAACAACTTGCTACTCTATTGTGTTTACTTGGAAAATCGTAAAGAATTATGTTTATCACTTACATCACTTCTGGTACAAGTGTATATTAAGTTTGTGCGAGTGTATGCAACAGCCAGAAGGACTTAAGATGAAATCATTTTTTATTATACCGATCGATTTAGAATTACTTTTTGCATGTCCGTTCGTCCGTCCGCTCGTCTGTCTTGGTTTTCTGTGTTCAACCTACGCCTCGCAATTTTCAATATTTTGGTGAAACTTGAGACACATTGACATGTTTTGGCTCAAGGACGATCGCTATTGGAAAATGGTTTGGATCGGACCACATTTTCGAACTCTTCCCATTATAACACTTTGTTTTATTACACGAATAACTGCATTAAGCGAAGCTTTATAGGGTATCTAATGGTGGGCGTTGTCCCACTACAGTGTTTCTACTTGTTTTACTTTACCATTGAGATTTATTCCGTCTTTTATGTTTTAGACTATAAATCTTAAGTTACGTTCATGTAAACATGTATTGTTTTCTGCCAATGTCAGGAAGACAAAAAAGAAATTTTTTATGTTTATTAGATAATAAGAACAAAAACAACAATAACTTCAAATTATGTAGTAGCAAGAAAAGGGAAATTCTTTGAAAGACATGAAACAAGGTTAAAATAAGATCATAAAGATAGTAGTAGAACAAGAAGAAAAACAAAGTATTGTTCGTATATCTGACTTGGTGAAATTTCTACCATCCGCTACTAACTTCTTTATACTTTTATCTATTATGTTTGTATGTATGTATGTGCGCATGTATGTATGTATGTGCGCATGTATGAATGTTATGTAACTTCACAGTATTTGATTGGAAGATGAAGCAAGGCTTCTTTGGTACATAACATATAGTAGATCGTATCGTGTACACAACAACGACATTATATATCGCAAATATGGGTTGAATGACAAGGGCGTGCCATAAGATCAGCCGGTCCTTAGCACAAGATCAACTCGTCCTGTAAATAAGTTTCGTCTGTCCGTCTGTCCGACTTCGCAAGGGTTTTAGCATAACATGCTATAGCGTAATTGCCCGTGGAGTGTCCGTGAGATAAACTGCGGAACAAACCGGCTTTTCAATGACACGTGCGTCTACTCGTTTACAGCTTCCAACCTTTTGGCCCTTTCAACGTGCGAAATTTTCTCTCTTTGCAAACTACGAGTTGGACGTACAGAAAGATTTCACTTATTTTATGGTACGTGAAAACGACACCAAATTTGGGGACCGATAGTAAACAAAAGGATAGATTTTCAGATCGCAGACTACTACACAAATATGTCAGGTACTGTTCTAAAAGGGTGTTGTCTTTTTTTGAAAACCGAATCAGAACGTGGTTGTAGACGATTGATGCTGACAAAGGAAATTTGAAAAATATTCACTCGCGCTTATTCGTTCGTTTTGATAATCGCATCGAATTCTATGCGGTATCTGAGCAAGGAGCAATGAAGGGGAAAAACAAAGGTCAAACGTGATTTAATCGATTCTGCTTTCTCTGATATGTATCTCTACATTAGGCCAATTTTCTCATATAATGGCTGTTAACATTCAATTAGCGACGATCTTAGTGCTAATAAGCAAAAAAAAAAATAATAATAATAAAAATTATTAATCACTTTCACACACTGGTCACACGAAATGAGTTTTAAAGCAATTCAAAGAAATTAGTTTATAACCACACTTTAGTCTCAGAATTTATTCTCTGGCTAAATTAACAATAGTAATAGTTTAACGATAGCTTTCATTTAAAAACACTACCTAAGCCTATGATTCGTGTTATATCTTTTAGGGTGACTACATCTGGATAGAGCCCGCTTCGGGCAGAGAATTCGATGTAGCCATTGGTGCTCGCGTTATATCGGCTGAGGGAAGACGCATTCAAGTACGCGATGATGATGGCGATGAGATATGGTTATCGCCAGAGAGGCGCATCAAAGCGATGCATGCTTCTTCAGTACAAGGAGTAGAAGATATGATTTCGTTAGGAGATCTACATGAAGCCGGTATTTTAAGAAATTTACTCATACGCTATAAAGAGAACTTGATTTATGTAAGTTGCATTTTTGTTTTGTTTGAAGATCATCTGGATAGATTAATACATTATTAATACATAATTTTGCAGACTTATACTGGATCGATATTGGTGGCCGTAAATCCATATCAAATTTTACCCATTTATACGGCCGATCAAATTAAATTGTACAAGGAACGCAAAATTGGTGAATTGCCCCCGCATATATTTGCCATAGGCGACAATGCTTACGCGCACATGAAACGTTATCGTCAGGATCAATGCATTGTCATATCGGGTGAATCGGGTGCTGGCAAAACTGAGAGCACAAAATTAATTTTACAATATTTAGCTGCCATAAGCGGCAAACATTCCTGGATAGAGCAACAAATACTCGAAGCGAATCCTATACTTGAAGCATTCGGTAATGCAAAAACCGTTCGCAATGATAATTCATCAAGGTCAGCAGCTAAAAGCTTCTTATCCCTTTTAAATGATTTCATTCATTGCTTTTTTCTTTTTTTTTATTTTTCCCATCTCTAGGTTTGGCAAATACATCGATATACACTTTAGTGCTAATGGTGTTATTGAAGGCGCCAAAATTGAACAGTATTTGTTAGAAAAATCACGTATAGTTTCACAGAATCATAGTGAACGTAATTATCATATATTTTATTGCATTTTGGCTGGATTATCGAATGAAGAAAAAAGGCGTTTAGATTTAGGCCATGCCTCAGATTATAAGTGAGTACAGTGTCCAATCGACAGATAGCATATTTACTTACATACTGAAATTATTTTTCATTTAAACTAAGGTACTTAACTGGTGGTGATTGTATTATTTGCGAAGGACGTGACGATACTGCTGAATTTTCCGATATTCGTTCCGCCATGAAGGTATTATTATTTTCAGATCAGGAGATTTGGGAAATAATAAAATTACTGGCTGCTTTATTGCATTGCGGCAATATTAAGTACAAGGCAACCATAGTAGATAACTTGGATGCGACTGAAATACCGGAACATATAAATGTCGAGCGGGTCGCCGCCCTGCTTGGCTTGCCTATGCAGCCTTTCATAGATGCTCTGATACGGCGTACTCTTTTCGCTCATGGCGAAACCGTCGTTTCGACGTTGTCGCGTGAGCAATCTGTTGACGTTAGAGATGCCTTTGTTAAAGGGATTTACGGTCGCATGTTCGTTCATATTGTACGCAAAATAAATGCTGCCATTTACAAGCCGAAAGCTTCTTCCCGTAATGCTATCGGTGTTTTGGATATTTTCGGTTTCGAGAATTTCGATCAGAATAGTTTTGAGCAGTTTTGCATAAATTATGCCAACGAGAATTTGCAACAATTCTTTGTACAGCACATATTTAAATTAGAACAAGAGGAGTACAATCACGAGGGTATCAATTGGCAGCATATTGAATTTGTGGATAATCAAGATGCCTTGGATTTGATAGCAATCAAGCAGTTAAACATTATGGCTTTGATAGATGAAGAGGCGCGCTTCCCTAAGGGTACGGATACGACTATGTTAGCTAAGCTTCACAAAACGCACGGCACTCATAAGAATTATTTGAAACCCAAATCGGATATTAATACTAGTTTCGGTTTAAATCATTTTGCCGGAATCGTTTTTTACGATACCATAGGCTTTTTAGATAAGAATCGCGACACATTTAGTCCCGATTTGTTGCATTTAGTGAGTCAAAGTAATAATAAATTTCTGAGGCACATATTTAATCAAGATATAGAAATGGGAGCTGAAACGCGTAAACGCACACCTACACTATCCACTCAATTTAAAAAAAGTTTGGATGCTCTAATGAAAACACTTAGTTCCTGCCAACCTTTCTTTATTCGCTGCATCAAACCGAATGAGGTGAAAAAACCAATGATGTTCGATCGCGGCCTATGCTGTCGTCAATTACGTTATTCGGGAATGATGGAGACGATACGAATACGTCGAGCTGGCTATCCCATACGTCATGGATTTCGAGAATTCGTGGAACGTTACAGATTTCTTATATCGGGCATACCGCCCGCTCATCGCACTGATTGTCGTTTAGCTACTTCGCGTATTTGTGCCGCTGTTTTGGGCAAATCCGACTACCAATTAGGTCACACGAAAGTGTTTTTGAAGGATGCGCATGATCTATTTTTAGAGCAAGAACGGGATCGCGTTCTAACGCGCAAAATTCTCATATTGCAGCGTACAATACGTGGTTGGGTATATAGGAGACGTTTTATGCGCATGCGTGAGGCAGCTGTAACCATACAACGTTTCTGGAAAGGCTATGCTCAACGCCAGAGGTATTATCGAATGCGAGTGGGTTACATGCGTCTGCAAGCTCTTATACGTTCACGTGTACTCTCTCATCGTTTTCGTCACCTCCGTGGTCATATTGTGGGCTTGCAAGCACATGCTCGTGGCTATTTAGTAAGGCGCGAATATGGCCACAAGATGTGGGCTATTATTAAGATACAATCGCATGTCAGACGGATGATTGCCATGCGCAGATATAAAAAAGTACGCGAGGAATACAAACAATTCGCTGAAGTTTTGCATTTACGTAAGTTAGAGGAACAGGAGCTAATGCACAAAGGCAATAAACATGCTCGAGAAATAGCTGAACAACATTATCGAGACCGTCTGCATGAGCTTGAACGGAGAGAAATGGAGAAGGAGATGGAACAGCGTAAACGTGTAGAAGCCAAAAAGAATTTAATCAATGACGCTGCCAGAAAACAAGACGAGCCCGTGGACGATGGAAAACTCGTGGAAGCCATGTTCGATTTCCTTCCGGATTCCAGCAGTGAAGCTCCTACACCACATGGTGGCCGAGAAACTTCGGTGTTTAATGATCTGCCACACACCAATAATATAAGCCAAGAAGTAAGTTACCATTGGAATAAACTCATAAATTACTGACAATTTTTATTTTCAGGATTTAATTGGACCCATGCATATTTCGGAAGACGAAGAAGATTTGTCAGAGTTTAAATTTCAAAAATTTGCTGCCACCTACTTTCAAGGCAATGTCAATCATCAGTATTCAAAAAAGGCTTTGAAACATCCTTTACTGCCACTGCATACTCAAGGAGATCAGTTGGCTGCCCAGGCCTTATGGATTACTATTCTACGATTTACAGGGGATATGTCAGAACCCAAATACCACACCATGGATCGTATGGACACTACTTCAGTTATGTCAAAAGTTACCGCCACATTGGGTAGGAATTTTATACGAAGCAAGGTATGTTAGAAAAGAACGCTGTGAGTGAAGCTTGCGATATCAATCAATGGTAATTTACATTTTAGGAGTTTCAAGAGGCTCAGTTAATGGGTTTGGATCCCGAGGCATTTCTCAAACAAAAACCCCGCTCAATACGACACAAACTAGTTTCTTTGACCTTGAAACGTAAAAATAAATTAGGAGAAGATGTACGGCGTCGCCTACAGGATGAAGAATATACTGCTGACAGTTATCAATCATGGCTTCAATCCAGACCCACTTCAAATTTGGAGAAGTTGCATTTCATTATAGGTCATGGTATTTTGCGGGCCGAATTGAGGGATGAAATTTATTGCCAAATTTGCAAGCAACTCACTAACAATCCTCTAAAATCGTCACATGCAAGAGGTTGGATTTTGCTATCATTGTGTGTGGGCTGTTTTGCTCCTTCAGAAAAGTTTGTCAACTATTTAAGAGCGTTTATACGTGAAGGTCCTCCCGGCTATGCACCATACTGTGAGGAACGTTTGAAGCGCACATTTAACAATGGTACTCGCAATCAGCCGCCCTCTTGGTTGGAATTGCAAGCCACGAAATCGAAGAAGCCCATAATGCTGCCTATTACTTTCATGGATGGCAATACTAAAACGCTCTTGGCCGATTCAGCCACCACAGCCCGCGAATTGTGCAACCAATTATCTGATAAAATCACATTAAAGGATCAGTTCGGATTCTCTTTGTACATAGCTTTGTTCGATAAAGTCTCTTCTCTCGGCAGTGGAGGCGACCATGTAATGGATGCTATTTCACAATGTGAACAGTATGCGAAAGAGCAAGGTGCTCAGGAGCGTAATGCTCCCTGGCGACTATTCTTTCGAAAGGAAATATTCGCTCCATGGCATGATCCTACTTTCGATCAGGTTGCCACAAATCTCATCTATCAACAAGTGGTGAGAGGTGTCAAGTTTGGTGAATATCGTTGTGACAAGGAGGAGGACTTGGCCATGATAGCTGCTCAGCAATATTTCATTGAATACGGAACAGATATGTCTATGGAACGTTTATTTACTCTTTTGCCAAATTTTATACCAGATTTCTGCTTGACGGGTATAGATAAAGCGATTGAGCGTTGGGCTGCTTTAGTACTGCAGGCCTATAAAAAATCTTACTATGTCAAAGAGAAAGTAGCGGCTTTAAAAATTAAGGAGGATATAGTAAGTTATGCTAAATACAAGTGGCCGCTGCTGTTTTCACGATTCTATGAAGCTTATCGGAATTCGGGTCCCAACTTACCGAAAAATGACGTTATAATTGCCGTTAATTGGACTGGCGTCTACGTGGTAGATGACCAGGAGCAAGTTTTGCTTGAATTAAGCTTTCCCGAGATCACTTCGGTATCAAGTCAGAAGACAAATAAAGTCTTCACTCAAACATTTAGCTTATCTACTGTGCGGGGGGAAGAGTTTACATTCCAGAGTCCGAATGCTGAAGATATACGAGATTTAGTTGTTTATTTTTTGGATGGCTTAAAGAAACGGTTAGTTTATGCAAAGAAACTGAAGAATGGACAAGATTAAGAATTTGTTTTTATTATTATTATTATTTCATTTAATTACTTACCAGATCGAAATACGTAATTGCCGTACAAGATTACAGAGCCCCTTCGGATAACTCCAGCTTTTTATCATTCTACAAAGGAGATTTAATTATTTTGGAGGACGAGAGTTGTGGTGAAACAGTTCTTAATAATGGTTGGTGCATAGGACGTTGCGAGCGAACTCAAGAGAGAGGTGACTTTCCGGCAGAAACCGTCTATGTGCTTCCGACTTTAACTAAGCCGCCCCAAGATATTTTGGCATTATTTAACATCGATGAAGCCCATCATGGTCGTCGTTTGAGTATGGCTAGTAATGGGGCTCCCGATACTCGAGATAGGCCTCACACGTTAATGGAATATGCCATGGATCATTTTCGCTTACCACCCAAGCGTACTATGTCGAAAACGTTAACTTTAGGTTCGAAACGTTCTGAAGAAATATGGCGTTACTCTCGCGATCCCATTAAGGCACCATTATTGCGTAAATTACAAAGCAAAGAGGAATTGGCCGAAGAGGCTTGTTTCGCTTTTGCTGCCATACTCAAATATATGGGCGATTTACCGTCGAAACGACCCCGTATGGGTAATGAAATTACCGATCACATATTCGATGGTCCCCTGAAACATGAAATATTGCGCGATGAAATCTATTGTCAGATAATGAAACAGTTAACTGATAACCGCAACCGTATTTCTGAAGAAAGAGGTTGGGAACTAATGTGGCTAGCCACGGGTCTCTTCGCTTGTTCACAGGCCTTACTAAAAGAGTTGACGCTATTCCTTAGAACACGAAGACATCCGATTTCGCAGGATTCGTTACATCGCCTGCAAAAGACCATACGCAATGGGCAGCGCAAATATCCGCCCCATCAAGTGGAAGTAGAAGCCATACAACACAAGACTACGCAGATATTTCACAAAGTATATTTTCCTGACGACACAGACGAAGCGTTTGAGGTGGATTCTTCGACGAGGGCCAAAGATTTTTGCCACAATATTTCACAACGCTTGTCGCTGAGAACCAGTGAAGGTTTCTCTTTATTTGTGAAAATAGCCGATAAAGTTATTTCAGTACCAGAAGGAGACTTCTTCTTCGATTTTGTTAGACATCTGACGGATTGGATTAAAAAAGCCAGACCTATACGGGACGGTTCAAATCCCCAATTTACATATCAAGTGTTTTTCATGAAGAAATTGTGGACGAACACAGTACCGGGCAAAGATCGTAATGCTGATTTGATATTTCATTATCATCAAGAATTACCGAAACTTTTACGAGGTTATCATAAATGTTCTCGCGAAGAGGCAGCAAAATTAGCAGCTTTAGTATATCGGGTGCGCTATGGAGATAATAAACAAGAATTACAAGCCATACCGTAAGTAAAATCAAATTCCACTTTTCCCACTTCTTTCCCCTGACCATCACCGTGTTTATAAATGTTTCGTGGAAAAGCCCCATGTAACCATTAATAAAAAAAAAACTTCAAACATGCCTCAGTCATGAAAAGGAACAATATATAAAGATTTGATTATTTCAGACAAATGTTGCGTGAATTGATACCTTCGGATATCATGAAGATGCAAAGCTCTAATGAATGGAAAAGAGCGATAGTCGCTTCATATAATCAAGATGCAGGCATGAGCTCGGAAGATGCGAAAGTAGCATTTTTGAAAATTGTATACAGGTATATGAAATTGAAATCAAATATTTATTTTTTTTTTTTTTTTAAAGAAATATGAAAATTTTCTTTTAGATGGCCTACCTTTGGCTCGGCTTTCTTCGAAGTGAAACAAACGACTGAACCTAATTATCCAGAAATGCTTTTAATAGCCATTAATAAGCATGGCGTTAGCTTAATACATCCAGTAAATAAGGCAAGTGTTACATTAAAAAAAAAAAAAAAAAAAAAAATTAAATGAATATATTTTTAACAAAAACTATTTCCTTCAATCAATAGGACATTTTAATTACTCATCCCTTCACACGCATTTCAAATTGGTCATCGGGCAACACTTATTTCCATATGACCATCGGCAATTTAGTTAGAGGCTCGAAGCTATTGTGTGAGACTTCGTTGGGTTATAAAATGGACGATTTACTCACTTCCTATATATCATTAATGTTAACCAATATGAATAAAAATCGTACCATACGCGCAAATTAGTCGTTGAATTGAATGCATCTCTCGATATATTAAGTTTTATTTTCGAATTATTGCTCCGAATTGTTTTAAATCTTAATGTTTTCATTTTCTTTACCCTTATTACTGTTCTTAATTTTCAATACTTTCTATATATATATAATAAATTATTTATTTCAATATTAATATTAAGTTCTAAAAGCTCTGATATGTCAATAATGCTTCAAAAAAAGAAACTTTTTGTACTGATTTTTTTTTTTTTGTATGAAAACAAAAGGGAATTTTTTTTTAAATTTCGAAAATTGTTTTGCAAGAGAAAAAAGAAATTGCTTTTAGTTACATATATTTTATCAGAATAGTTGAAAGAAATTATATAAATAAATATATCTGATATTAAATATCGAAAAAAAGATCCGTAAAGATTCATTTAAATTATCGCACAGATATATAGGGTCTCGTGCATTAGATAAAGAACTTCTTCTTATTTGACCAAAAAGTAACGGGAATTTGGAAATTATTGGCGCGCTTTCTTGTATATCGAGTTGAGTTTTCCGCGGATGAGGAGAAGCGAGGAGAACAATTTAAAGCGTAAAAACTGTTTTTTTAAGACGATGCTATGAATTTATCAATCTCCAGAAAATATGAAACACGATAGATGGTCCAGGCGGAATATGTCATTTGCTGATGGAAATATAAGAATAAAATTTGCTTTTGCAATCATATATCGAATCTTTTGTTGTAAGTGCACGAATAGAAGTTTATATATATATATATATATACGTATTAAAGCAAACATATTACGTAATGTCAGGAAAACATTGCTGCGCTTGTTAATTGAAACAGAAGATATACGACTATAGGTCTTACATCGATCCGGCCGATATATGCCTGCACAAACAAACTATTGTTTTAGAAGAAGGAAACTGTAAGTTCACCTAGTCATTGAAAGAGTACCCGTAAGGCTGAGTATTCTGTTATCCGCGCAATCAGAAAATATCACAATGATGGAAAGTCTTTGAGTTTAAAAGCTTCCATGGGTAATTGTATAACTTGTCTATTAATATCTGAACCCAATCTGAACAAAGTGGAAAATGGAGAAAGTCAAATTCGAAACTCTGAGTACAATTTTAGTAATATTTAGAGTGGAGAAAAGCATTTTATTAATCATCATCAAGATTATCTGAAAATCTCTGAACCACGTATTCGTATATAATAGAAAGGTTCTGATTAAAAAAAAAAATTTTTTTTTCCATATTTAATTTATCATCTGTAAGATAAGTAAATGTTATACTAAGATGAGGCTATTGCCCCAAATGGAAACAATATCACGGTACAGATATGATGATTAGATAAATAGAAAGAAAGCTATGTAAACAAGGAAAATTGGCTAAAATAATTTAAAGTAAAAATAATTTAATTTTTAATGGAAGACGTCTTTTTAAATTTTTTATTTCATTGGATTTATGTGATTACTCAATCTGGCAAAATATTTTGAACAAATGCGTTGACTTAGATTATTGATGGATGGATGAATGGACAATGAGTGGCAAACCATTCCAGTATTGTTTAGCAAAATGAAATACGCGGCTTTTCGCTAAAAACCGTTAATCTGTTATTTCTTTTACGCCAAAGGAAATAAGAAGAGTAAGAATGTGCGAAGAATGTGCACAGAGTTGCTTGTAATAAATAAGAAAAAATGTGGCAACGCATTCGTCATGAGCTCTGTCAAAAAGGCAAAGCAGTAGTGGAATAAACTGTTAAAAGGCAAAGCTGCAGTGGAATAATCTGTCAAATTGCAAAGCCGCCGGCATTTATATCTGTTAAATTAAAACAATGTAAAAAGATAAAAACAAAATTAAAAAGCTCTCTTAGCATGACAAATCAATGCAAAAAAATCTGTTAAAATCGCAAACCTATATAAACAAACCTTAAATTGCTTTTCGTTCTTTTTTTAATTTTATTGAATATGTTTGGTTACTACAAAAAAAAGCTTTGATTATTTCAGACTATTAACTATTAACTATTAGCATAGCAATGTTTAACTTTAAAAAGTTTGATTGACTTTACTTTGGCACACTTACCCAATGAGTATATTTCTCAGTTTCTCTTAAAAAAAAGCTTTAACGTGTCAGACAAACAAAAGACTTAAGGCACAAACTTGATGGTCTTTAATCGAAAAGCTTTAATTTACAAATTAATTTTATATACATGTGACCACAGTGCAATGAGCGATTTCCAATTTTAATATAAATTATTACGAGAACGAGAGAGCCTACAAAGCTCAACGATTGGTTAATTCATAGATACGAACATGTTCTCGCGGAAACTCTCGCGATTGGCTATCACTAAGGTTGGCGTTTAGTTTGTAAATGAAAACTTGAAATGCACACAAATTTATATACAAATTTTTTACAATCAAGTAAATGCAATCAAATTAAATAAACAGTTACATACGTGTAGGTATATGCAAGAGATGAGAAATTTTTCTGGTCAAATTATTTAAAAAAAAAAAAAAAAAAAATTTCAAAATAAATGAACAAATTAAAGCAAAAGTCAATGAACTTTTGCAAGAGTAAAAAAAAAAATACAACTATAAATAAATAAATTTAAATTAGAAAATATGTCAAAATGTAGGAAAAAATTAAATATTATTCTCATTTAGAAGTGCATTTTACATTCCCATCACCTCAGGCGAATAGACGTATAAACGAGAGAACGCATTGCTGTGTGATTTTTGCGACTTTTTCCGGTTATCATCTAATTTTGAAATTTGGAAAAGTATTTATATCGTCATAGGTTTCATATTTCATTGAGAGTAATGTAGGGTAAACTTTGCTTTCCTTTTAAAATGTTTTTATTTGGTAGGCGTACTCGGTAAGTTGTACCTCGTAATTTAATATGTAACTGATGAAAAAAACTTTGCATCAAACTTACTTTGACTTTGAGTGTAGTAAGACCAGGCAAAAAGATCGAAGGTCAGATGGATTAAAAATTCTTATCATTCTTACTCTTAATAATATTTCTACGTTACAAGTCAAATAACAAATCAGTAAACTACATCTTACTTGAGACGAAACATGAAAATTTATTATCTCAAGCAATTATTTTTTAATCATGAGACTGCCAGCGAGCAACCACATCAGATTTCTAGCTTGATGTGATAACACTTCGGATTAAGTTGCTGATCTTCATTTCAATAAATTATTGACAAAACTATATAGAAATTGTTTTATTGTTATTTCTTTTTAAGTCGTTCAAGCTCATATGTAGCTAACTGCTGTGACTATAGTGTTGTTTACTACATTAGTATTCGGTGGATCTACGATGCCTCTGCTAATACAGCATTGTAGCTCTTCTTGTATTTTTCTCTCTCAGCTGCCAAAAGATTGCGTTCTTCTATCAAATCATTGTTACGTTCCTTACTCAAAATTAATTCTTCGCTTAGTTTCTCGCTTTTCGCACAAGTACCATGACATTTAGTAATAACAGCGCCCCCAACAGTTCCTCCGCCACCGGGACCGCTTCTTTCATTATAATCGCAATAGTAAGAATTATTGCTGCGACCGTCTGTCTGCGAATTGCCATTTTCATTTTCGAAGCGCATTAACTTGCATTCCAAAATATTATTCTGTTGTTTTAATCGAGCATTTTCTGCCACCACATCAGTAAGTTTATTTCGTTCAGAACTTTTTAGCTGATTCATAGCGGCATTATACTGTTCCTGATAGAAAGCCAACTGACTTTCCAAATTATCACATCTTCTAACTGTGTCGGCATGTTGATGTCGTAACGTCTTCAATTCAAGTAAAGCCGAATCATACTGTATCTTAATTGAATCATATTTTTTCGGATTCCCCAAACCACTGCTAACACCATCACCACCACTGACAATAGCACCACCACTACTAACACTTATGAAATCAACCGAAGAAAGTTTAAAAAGCAAATGTATACTCTTAGCTTAATTTCAGTGAATTTAAGAATTCACGAGCGCCTTGAGCTAATCTATAGAAAAATATCGTCGCTTTTTTTTATTTGGTTTTGCTTCATCATATAGAAGTTAAGGCATGCAGAATAAGCTAAGCTTCAATAAACTTTCAAGATAAGAATTAGCTAAAGGGCAATAGCATATGTATTAAATTAGGAGCGTTCTTTTGGGATAAGCTTTTTTAGAACCAACAAAGCACTTAGTACATGTAAGTGGAAGTAAGGCAGTAACTTTTAAAGGAATGTACTGCATCTATGCCTAATTCTGTAGCAAATTTCTAACATATATTGTTAATAGTTTTTTTTTTGTAAAAGTGTTAAAAATATTGAATACTGACTAGTAACTTATACCTGAAAGTTCTGAAGTTCTTTTGAGAAAATGTTGCTCGAAATATGTGATATACTTTACTTTTGAGGCATTTTGTTACATCCTACACAACTTGTGCAAAATCTAGAAGGATTTGGGATAGACCCACCTTTTATTCAGAATCAGTTTCTGCATCAATTTGAACTTGTCTGCCCGTCTTGCTTTTGTATATTCGACCTGGAGAACTCAAATTTTCGAGATATCTTGATAAAACTTGGCCCACCGAAGGACGTTGATCAAAGACGAACGCTCCCGAAAATTCTTTGGGTAGGAATTTTTCGACTATTTTCCATATAAGTTTTTTCTTAAAAAGTTATTATATGAATAATTGTATTAAGGAAAATGGTGGTGAGCCGTTCCTCCTTATAGTGGTTTCATTCGTTTTATCTCTGAAAAGGAAAAAAAAGGCCAATAGCAAACTTATAAAAAGATATGTGACTAGCACCGTAAGAGAAAGCATCTGTCGAAAGTAATTTGTAAAATTCTATTACCAGCAGTTTTTCGTCAAGCCGCCTTTCGCAAGGAGTCAGTAACTATTTTGTTGTCAATTAAAACGAGGCATTAAGCTAATGTAACCAGCAATTGAAGATTCATCGGAAGAGTTGCATTCGTATTTCAATTTACTCGATTTCCCCTGCGGAACATGCTTTCCTGTTAATATTGAACTATGAAGTGTAGTTTTGTTGTAGAAAGAGCAAATTAATACGAAGTATTTACA